TTGCTTTGCACCAGGTCACTGTCAGAAGTGTAACGCCTTTTCTGATCCTGCAGAAATCCCAGGGACGCAGAGGAGAATTCAGTAGACAGGAGAGATGAGAGCGCCTTGGCAGGCATTTGCAATCAAGGAGATGAAATAAAGCAATTAATTGCTGAGAGACATCTAAAGAGGAATGGGTAGTAGGCATTTCTTTGTTCGATGCGTTGGAAATCTTAGCTGGTGTAGTGTTTGCCTCAAATAATTTTTAATTTTTTTCTATTGGGCCTAGTAATAAAAGCATTAAGGTCATTAACATAAAGTGTTTGAAAATGTTTTTCTTTTTTAAACCACTTTGTCTTTATTACTTCACATGCTGAACAAAAAAGCCACAAATGTCATATTCAAATCACACTGAATTTCCTGAAAATTTGCATGTGGATAACTGCTATAGCATGGTGTACCTCTGATGTTAAAATTGATTGAAAATATATTTTTCATTCATCTCCTGAAGCAAGAAAATAAACATTGAAGTTCACTTTTAAAAGAAAATAACTTCCCCTGGCCAGTGTTGCCAAGTGGTTGAGCATCAACCTACGAACCAGGAGGTCAAGGTTTGATTCCCAGTCAGGGCACATGACTGGGTTGCAGGCTCCATCCCCAGTAGGGGGCGTGTGGGAGGCAACTAAGTGATGTGGCTCTCTCACATCTATGTTTTTCTCTCTCTCTCCTCTCTGCCCCTCCCTTCTACTCTCTTTAAAAAAATCAATGGAAAAAAATGCCTCCAGTGAGGATTAACCAAAACCAAACACAAAAACCTGTTACCTTTTCTCACACGTCTGGGTATGACAATCTGCTATCTGGGTAAAGATGCCATTGATGGACACTGATGATTTTCACACAGTCACAGGGGGCAGCTTAACCTGTGGTGCTGCTTGGTAATTTAAGTGAACACCTTAGCAAGAAAAAAACACACACACACAAAGGAAAAAAACCCGCTGAAATATCAGTTCAGTTGTTGGCAGTGGCTTTCATCTTATTCCCCATTTCTCTGTTGTCTCTTGGTTGCTGAGTATTTTTTTTTTAACTCGGGGTACAACTGATCTTTCTGGGGGAGTTTTTCGCAGAATTCTCAGCTGCAGGTTTCTTTGGACTTGAGACGTAACTTTAATTTGCAAGGACATAGAAGCAGATGAATTTTCTCATTGTAAAAACAAAATGAATGCCTCAATGATATATTTGCTTTTCTTAGCAGGCTTCTGTCAGTAGGATTGATGCTTGAGGGTATTTTGTTAGATCTTGTGTGGCACAGAAAGTATTACTCAGAGTTTACCCGATTTTAGCTGGCAAACTTGCATCAGAACATAGAATATCATTTTGCGTTTAATATTGCAGTTCCAGTGCCATTATCAGATTGCATTTTCATACTGAATTACAAACAAAAATTTTATGCTACTAACACTTAATGATATTTGTAATAAGATTGTGTTTTGATGCTATTCTTCAAATAATGTGTTTTGAATTGCTTTCCTTTGAATATATTTGCACTAAGGAGGAACTGAGTTTGATTTGGTTCTTTAAAGAGTTTACCCATTTCCTGGGTAGCTTTAAAAAAACAGGTAAATTCGCCCAGCCTGTGTGGCTCCGTGGTTGAGCGTGGACCTATGAACCAGGAGGTCAGGGTTCTATTCCCGGTCAGGGCACATGCCCGGGTTGTGGGCTCGATCCCCAGTAGGGAGGGTGCAGGAGGCAGTTTCTTCTTTGCAAGTCAATAAATAGAAAAGGAGCACATTTGCTAAGATCCATAGAAGTAATGGCAGAAGATTACAGATAGACCGAGTTAATGAAATGACTCATGGTGGCTATTAGAGCTGCACAATTATATATATATATATATACAGAGTGTACACACCATAGACTGTGAGAGATGATAGCCCTGGGTTCTCTTCTTTCTCATCAAACCCTAAGGCTGATATAGTAAGAATTAAGAAATTTAAGAGATTCACATTATTGCAGTTCTTGATCAGTGATGCCCAAAATTAAATGGTAATCTCTTGAGAGAGTGCGTTTGTTTGAAGCACCTTCTTACTCATTTCTGCTAAAATTGTGGTTGTTTATGTGAACAGGTGCTTTCCAAAATATAAACTGTGCATGACCCAGCAAAAACACGTCACTGAAACGAAATGTGCTTTTATGGGATGGTAAGGTCGGAGGTGTCGAGAAGAAGGAAGTTTGTAGC